ATAAAATGACAAAGTGAGCTAATAGCTTAATATGTTATCAAAACCTACAACTAAAATCAATGCAAAGTAATTGAAATAGTATGCATACAATCATTCAATCATTATCAATATAAATATATAACTGTAAAAGCTTGTAACAATCAATGAAATAGTAACATGTTATATGATCAATAAATATCAGTATAAATATATATCGTAGGAGCATTGATCAAAAAATAGTAATAATATACTAGGGGTCAGTAAACTATCACACACACACACATGCATATGCAGTATCGTAAGCAAAGAAGGCATCCAACTATCTTTGATGTTTTTTTCTATTTCAAGTTTTGTAGGTCAACCTTATAGAAATCAGTCTCAATCACAAGTCATTTAGGTCAGGAGGTTTCATGTTAGAAGTTGTCACTTTTCTTATGCCCATCGGCGTATTATATCATATCAATTAATCTTCTTATGCCCTCCTTTTCATATCATTTAGGATTACACCATAAATATTATTTTAAGGAAAAACCCATGAGCCCACCCTCCTCTATAAGATAATATATCTCCAACCAATCTGAATTACTCAATCATTTTTTGCCATCCTTTTCTTACATATACACATTTCATAACTATATAACATAATAAAAACCTAATACATTCATTATTATATCAATTAATGCATGTAAAATTTTATATAAACCAAAATTATGAAATTTATAAGAAAATGCATGCAATGTATCTTTTTCACATACCATAATAAATAATAAATAAATTCGAATAACCAATATGTTTACATCACTCATATGAAAGAATTTATAATTATTATTCCAATTTTCTTATATATCTATATTTCTCTTCAAAAATACAAAAAAACTCATATAAATGATCTATAATTTCATTTATATATGTGCAGAATGCATTAAAACTAAACATATTAAAAATACATGTAAAGTTGCGAAAAATTAGATGTCACACTTTTGGCAAGTTTTACTAAATTAAAATTTTAAAAATAATAAATTCATAAAAGTAATAAAAATTAAGATGGTAGGTTAATATAGCCTACCTCAGGACGAGCAAAAATTTCAATTAGACATGTCAGTTGGCAAACTAGTTCTACAACCTCCAAACTAGCTTCTATTTTCTCCCTCCTCTCTTGTTCTTCTGAATTTCAATTGTCTCTCTATTAAAACGTATAAGAAGAAAGAAATGATATTCCTCTAATAAGCTTTTTTAAGACGCGCTTAAAGTTTTTTTAATAACTAAATAATCAAATGACTTATGGTATATATTAATTATTTAAGATTTTAAATATAATCTATATAAATCTTTTATATCTTAAGATATGAGCCTTAAAACTAATAGTAAAATGTTCATAAATAGTACAGCATATCTACGACGCTCTAATGAAATCGATTTGTAAAACGGACAATCTAACGATCCTCATCAAAACTCACTTTGTACCGACATGTGTCAACTTTTTAATTAATTTCAATTAAATAAAAAACCTTTTTATTTTCAACCTACATTATTCATTAGAATTAGAGAAAAAAAATTTTAATTAAAGCAACCAATAATATCTCATGTTAAGAAAAAAGTACAGTTTAAAAATTAAACTTATATATACTGTCTGAGAAATATTATTTTACTTTGTAGTCAAAATAAGTCTTGTAGAAATTAAAGGCTTTATTACGATGCCTTGATTATAGAATTTAGCATTTAATTTAACATCCTAAGCGTCATAATTCATATAACTCTTTCTTAGGCTTAAGATAAATATCAATATTATTTTCTAGAAAAATAAAGAATTTATGTATCATTCCGATCAAGGTAGGCAATTATAGATGGAACTAAAGCCCGCCAGAATAATATAGTGCAATGCTATAATCTTAATGATTGATCAAGTAAAGCAGGATAGGGCATCCTATGAATCACGGTACCTATATTAAAGATTTTCAGTTTCTTTATCACACTGTGATTCAAAATAATTCATTATATTTATGCATTTTGCGTGTCAAATCATATCTTCAACATATTCTTTATTTTGAAATAATCTATTTAGTCTATAATAATTAAGAAAAATATTGAATATTTCTGACATTTCATATAATTTTTTTTTGTCTTGTGATACTTCTTCTTAATACATTAGACATCTTAATTCTCACAAATGTGCATTCCTCTTGATCAATTTTCTTTCGCAAAAATATCATAATTACTATTCAAGATTGCATCTATATTTGTGTATATTCAAGATCAATATGCTTCATTACTTACTTCAGTTTCATATGTATAGCTATGAGCAACACGCCCCTTAAGAAAAATCCATCGTCAATAACTCAGCAACTATCCAAACATATTCTTAAATTCTAAGAATATAAGCATGCAAATTAAATAAGTGTAATACGAAAGGATAGTTGAGATATACTTACACACCATACGGTACAACTTGCTCTATATCGATGCTATTAATCCCCTGTAATTTGCTTCACCATCAAATCTATTGGTGGATCTGTTTGAACTAATTGTATCCGATTCACTAAACTTTTGGTTGAAATAGTGGAAACAAATGTGTCTCTTATTAATCCTTTAATTCATATGTGTTACATATCTAATATTACACTATTGTATCTCTCTAAATTAGATGGACAGAAATGTTTCATTCCATTGCCTCTTCAGCCTATAGTAGCTCTTTCCCTGTTCAATTCCATAGAAACATCTCTAACAAAGAATTTTTTGGAGATAATGAACATTGATATCTTTTTTGATATGAAAGTATCTATTAATGCATATTTGCATGAACAAATTTTTTTTCTTTGAATGCTCTAGCTTATGACTTGCAAGTCTAGAAAAGTTGACATCATTTATATAATCATAACCCATTTAGAATTTTGTTCTAGGCTCTTATCCATTTAATTAAGTGAGAAAAATAGACTTCCCAAATCATGCTAAGAATAAAATTTCATATAACATAAAAATGAAGATTTCTATGAATGAATTAAAGAGATCAATTAGATAGGAACTCAACAAAGAGTGAACTTGAGGTTATAGTAGTTATCAGGGGGGGGGGGGGGGGGGGGTTGTGATATATTTGAATGGTAGAAATAAATTATATGAGTGATATATTTGATATTAAAGTTGTATATGAGTGATAAGCATGTAATATTAATATTTTAGAAAGCAGTGAGAATGCTGTCCCAAATGAAGCCTTAAAATAGAAAGCAACATTCAACATTCATATGTAGGGTTCCACCTAGTTGGAATCAACACAATTCTTTTGAAAAGTTCATAAATGAGCGTCTATTCATTAGTGTTCTTGGAGTAGCAAGATTACCTTATGATTTGTTTAGCGCCGACAATATATACCTTAATGTCCTTCAGGCATTGGCTGGTCCCGAAAATACCTATAGTTGTTGCTCTCGTCAATGCTCCTGTTAAACACAATTAAGATTTCATTTATGATAACTTTTGATCACTATTTTCAAAGAAAAAAGTACTAAAAGTTATTGTAGATCACAGTAGGAAAATTTTCACAAACGAAGTCTAAGAAAGAGAACTATACAATGATACACTTTAGTATATTTATAAGTTAAAAACAATTTTAGATTTTTTTTTATCCATACTGATAAAAAAGATAAAAAAAAATTGGTAAACCCTAAATTAACTTATATTTTTAAGCCTTAAAATTTTCTTTATTTTTCTTGTTTTATTCTTCACTAAAATACAATCTTTCAGAATAAATTTCTCCAAAGGTCCCTATGAATTTCTTGTCCTCTAGTTTGTTTGCAGTCCCTACCCCTCATTCTCCATAGAAAAATCAAAATTCTATACTGTATTTTATTTTTCATAATTTTTTAAAAGGGGATTTACATACATGCCATCCTATATCACTCTATTTACATATCTAATACCTAAAATTTTAATATTACATATATACCACACTTAGTTCACTTTTATATCAAATATGAGTGATATGAATGAAATATATGGATGGTAGAAATGAAATATGAGTGACATATTTGATATTAAAAAAATATTGGATGGTATGCATGTAATA